ACTTGAAAGCTCCAAAGAGTTTGGTTGTCTGGTATTGTGACAAGGAATAGTGCCATCTGGTATTTGAAAGCTCCAACGAGTTTGGTCGTCTGATTGTTGTGACAGAAAATAGTGCCATCTGGTACTTGAAAGCTCCAACGAGTTGGTCTCTGGACGTTGTGGTAAAGGAGAAAGTCATCTGATACTTGAAAGCTCCAAAGAGTTTGGTTGTCTGGTATTGTGACAGGAAAAGTGCCATCTGGTATTTGAAAGCTCTAACGAGTTTGTCGTCTGGACGTTGTGGTAAAGAAGAAAGTCATCTGATACTTGAAAGCTCCAACGAGTTTGGTCGTCTGATTGTTGTGACAGGAAATAGTGCCATCTGGTATTTGAAAGCTCCAACGAGTTTGGTCGTCTGGTGTTGTGGAAGAAAGCCATCTGGTATTTGAAAGCTCCAACGAGTTGGTCTCTGGACGTTGGGTAAAGGAGAAAGTCATCTTATACTTGAAAGCTCCAACGAGTTTGGTCGCTGATTGTTGTGACAGAAATAGTGCCATCTGGTATTGAAAGCTCCAACGAGTTTGGTCTCTGGCGTTGTGTAAAGAGAAAGCATCTGATACCTGAAAGCTCCAAAGAGTTTGGTTGTCTGGTATTGTGACAGGAAATAGTGCCATCTGGTATTTGAAAGCTCCAACGAGTTGGTCTCTGGACGTTGGGTAAAGGAGAAAGCATCTGATACTTGAAAGCTCCAACGAGTTTGGTCGTCTGATTGTTGTGACAAGAAATAGTCCATCTGGTATTTGAAAGCTCCAACGAGTTGGTCTCTGGACGTTTGGTAAAGGAGAAAGTCATCTGATACTTGAAAGCTCCAACGAGTTTGGTCGTCTGATTGTTGTGACAGAAATAGTGCCATCTGGTATTGAAAGCTCCAACGAGTTGGTCTCTGGGACGTTGTGGTAAAGAGAAAGCATCTGATACCTGAAAGCTCCAAAGAGTTTGGTTGTCTGGTATTGTGACAGGAAATAGTGCCATCTGGTATTTGAAAGCTCCAACGAGTTGGTCTCTGGACGTTGGGTAAAGGAGAAAGCATCTGATACTTGAAAGCTCCAACGAGTTTGGTCGTCTGATTGTTGTGACAAGAATAGTCCATCTGGTATTTGAAAGCTTCCAACGAGTTGGTCATCTGGACGTTTGTGTAAAGGAGAAAGTCATCTGATACTTGAAAGCTCCAAAGAGTTTGGTTGTCTGGTATTGTGACAGGAAAAGTGCCATCTGGTATTTGAAAGCTCCAACGAGTTTGGTCGTCTGATTGTTGTGACAGGAAATAGTGCCATCTGGTATTTGAAAGCTCCAACGAGTTGGTCTCTGGACGTTGGGTAAAGGAGAAAGTCATCTGATACTTGAAAGCTCCAACGAGTTTGGTCGTCTGATTGTTGTGACAAGGAATAGTGCCATCTGGTATTTGAAAGCTCCAACGAGTTTGGTCGTCTGGTGTTGTGGAAGAATAGCCATCTGGTATTTGAAAGCTCCAACGAGTTGGTCTCTGGACGTTGGGTAAAGGAGAAAGTCATCTTATACTTGAAAGCTCCAACGAGTTTGGTCGTCTGATTGTTGTGACAAGAATAGTCCATCTGGTATTTGAAAGCTCCAACGAGTTGGTCTCTGGACGTTGGGTAAAGGAGAAAGCATCTGATACTTGAAAGCTCCAACGAGTTTGGTCGTCTGATTGTTGTGACAAGAATAGTTCCATCTGGTATTTGAAAGCTCCAACGAGTTGGTCTCTGGACGTTGGGTAAAGGAGAAAGCATCTATACTTGAAAGCTCCAACGAGTTTGGTCGTCTGATTGTTGTGACAGAAATAGTGCCATCTGGTATTGAAAGCTCCAACGAGTTGGTCTCTGGGCGTTGTGGTAAAGAGAAAGCATCTGATACCTGAAAGCTCCAACGAGTTTGGTTGTCTGGAGTTGTGACAGGAAATAGTCCATCTGGTATTTGAAAGCTTCCAACGAGTTGGTCTCTGGACGTTTGTGTAAAGGAGAAAGCATCTGATACTTGAAAGCTCCAAAGAGTTTGGTTGTCTGGATTGTGACAGGAAAAGTGCCATCTGGTATTTGAAAGCTCCAACGAGTTTGTCGTCTGGACGTTGGGTAAAGGAGAAAGCATCTGATACTGAAAGCTCCAACGAGTTTGGTCGTCTGATTGTTGTGACAAGGAAATAGTGCCATCTGGTATTTGAAAGCTCCAACGAGTTTGGTCGTCTGGTTGTTGTGGAAGAATAGCCATCTGGTATTTGAAAGCTCCAACGAGTTGGTCTCTGGACGTTGGGTAAAGGAGAAAGTCATCTTATACTTGAAAGCTCCAACGAGTTTGGTCGTCTGATTGTTGTGACAGAAATAGTCCATCTGGTATTGAAAGCTCCAACGAGTTGGTCTCTGGCGTTGTGTAAAGAGAAAGCATCTGATACCTGAAAGCTCCAAAGAGTTTGGTTGTCTGGTTATTGTGACAGGAAATAGTGCCATCTGGTATTTGAAAGCTCCAACGAGTTGGTCTCTGGACGTTGGGTAAAGGAGAAAGCATCTGATACTTGAAAGCTCCAACGAGTTTGGTCGTCTGATTGTTGTGACAAGAAATAGTCCATCTGGTATTTGAAAGCTCCAACGAGTTGGTCTCTGGACGTTTGGTAAAGGAGAAAGCATCTGATACTTGAAAGCTCCAACGAGTTTGGTCGTCTGATTGTTGTGACAGAAATAGTGCCATCTGGTATTGAAAGCTCCAACGAGTTGGTCTCTGGGCGTTGTGGTAAAGAGAAAGCATCTGATACCTGAAAGCTCCAAGAGTTTGGTTGTCTGGATTGTGACAGGAAATAGTGCCATCTGGTATTTGAAAGCTCCAACGAGTTGGTCTCTGGACGTTGGGTAAAGGAGAAAGCTCTGATACTTGAAAGCTCCAACGAGTTTGGTCGTCTGATTGTTGTGACAAGAATAGTCCATCTGGTATTTGAAAGCTTCCAACGAGTTGGTCTCTGGACGTTTGGTAAAGGAGAAAGCATCTGATACTTGAAAGCTCCAACGAGTTTGGTCGTCTGATTGTTGTGACAGAAATAGTGCCATCTGGTATTGAAAGCTCCAACGAGTTGGTCTCTGGGCGTTGTGTAAAGAGAAAGCATCTGATACCTGAAAGCTCCAACGAGTTTGGTTGTCTGGATTGTGACAGGAAATAGTGCCATCTGGTATTTGAAAGCTCCAACGAGTTGGTCTCTGGACGTTGGGTAAAGGAGAAAGCATCTGATACTTGAAAGCTCCAACGAGTTTGGTCGTCTGATTGTTGTGACAAGAATAGTCCATCTGGTATTTGAAAGCTTCCAACGAGTTGGTCTCTGGACGTTTGTGGTAAAGGAGAAAGTCATCTGATACTTGAAAGCTCCAAGAGTTTGGTTGTCTGGATTGTGACAGGAAAAGTGCCATCTGGTATTTGAAAGCTCCAACGAGTTTGGTCGTCTGATTGTTGTGACAGGAAATAGTGCCATCTGGTATTTGAAAGCTCCAACGAGTTGGTCTCTGGACGTTGGGTAAAGGAGAAAGTCATCTGATACTTGAAAGCTCCAACGAGTTTGGTCGTCTGATTGTTGTGACAAGGAATAGTGCCATCTGGTATTTGAAAGCTCCAACGAGTTTGGTCGTCTGGTTGTTGTGGAAGAATAGTCCATCTGGTATTTGAAAGCTCCAACGAGTTGGTCTCTGGACGTTGGGTAAAGGAGAAAGTCATCTGATACTTGAAAGCTCCAACGAGTTTGGTCGTCTGATTGTTGTGACAAGAATAGTCCATCTGGTATTTGAAAGCTCCAACGAGTTGGTCTCTGGACGTTGGGTAAAGGAGAAAGCATCTGATACTGAAAGCTCCAACGAGTTTGGTCGTCTGATTGTTGTGACAAGAATAGTCCATCTGGTATTTGAAAGCTCCAACGAGTTGGTCTCTGGACGTTGGGTAAAGGAGAAAGTCATCTATACTTGAAAGCTCCAACGAGTTTGGTCGCTGATTGTTGTGACAGAAATAGTGCCATCTGGTATTGAAAGCTCCAACGAGTTGGTCTCTGGGCGTTGTGTAAAGAGAAAGCATCTGATACCTGAAAGCTCCAAAGAGTTTGGTTGTCTGGATTGTGACAGGAAATAGTCCATCTGGTATTTGAAAGCTTCCAACGAGTTGGTCTCTGGACGTTTGTGGTAAAGGAGAAAGCATCTGATACTTGAAAGCTCCAAAGAGTTTGGTTGTCTGGTATTGTGACAGGAAAAGTGCCATCTGGTATTTGAAAGCTCAACGAGTTTGTCGTCTGGACGTTGGGTAAAGAAGAAAGCATCTGATACTGAAAGCTCCAACGAGTTTGGTCGTCTGATTGTTGTGACAGGAAATAGTGCCATCTGGTATTTGAAAGCTCCAACGAGTTTGGTCGTCTGGTTGTTGTGGAAGAATAGTCCATCTGGTATTTGAAAGCTCCAACGAGTTGGTCTCTGGACGTTGGGTAAAGGAGAAAGTCATCTTATACTTGAAAGCTCCAACGAGTTTGGTCGTCTGATTGTTGTGACAGAAATAGTCCATCTGGT